GGTAAAACACCATCTCCTCCTCCTCTATGATCTAACCGCTATTAGCCCATCCAGGTCATCCCCTTATTCTTCTGGTTTCCGATACGTACACCCCTCTTTATCCTTCCACTAGTGTTATGGATCGACAAATGGAGCAACCGCGATGCGTAAAGGAGTGAGAAATATGGCGTGAGGTTATCAGATCGTCTCTCTTTTGCTGAGCCAATCGCCGGGAGGCGATAACGTCAGCGGTTGCGTCCGCGGGGTCAACGTGGGACCCACGCCGGCGCACGCGTCCCAGGAGTCAAAAGGCCGACAGCGACGGCCTCCCGAATCCCGTGTCGTATCCTGCGCCGCACACGTTACCGACAAAGGATTTGACCGCCACGTCCCCTTGATTTCGTGAGCGCGGTTGGTCAAATCATGTTCGATTCGTCTTGTTACGATATCGAATTATAAGATGATTTAATTGTTCGTCTTGCACAAGAGCAACCGATCGATCTCACTTCGGATGTATATTTGTGTGGAAAGGTTAGAAAAAGATCGTTTTAGAAGAGGCGAATACGCGGCTACAGCGTAGGGAAGTGTATACGTGGCCACCTCAGTTCTACAATAATGGCAGCGGAATCATTTGCCACCAGTATGTGCGAGGTGGAGGAGTTGACCCCACGCGCATCATGCACCACGTATAGATGTGGACAAAGAACAATAAGAATACACCACAAGAGTTGGACATTTGTCAATGCTTAATTCGTGTAGGTCAAAGATTTGATCCGCCTCGGGGTCAACGCGGTCTCCACGAGACCATCTTCGACGACACCAGAAGAAGCGCTCAACTTCGTCACGCCAAATGTCAAAGCGAGTCTCCGCTCCACAGAAGAAAAAGTCAAAGCATGTCATGATTAGTGTTAGATACGTACGTTAAAGCAGTTCAGGTTGGCATCCACTTGAGGTGGCATGTAATCTCATCCTCGGAGAGGTTTAGATTCTGCTTTGACATCTGCGTTGTTTGGTATGCAAGACTGTGGTCAACAAGTCAACTACTGTGACGATTGAATCCAGTGAGCAGCTCCAACCTGAAGTCGTAATATTATCTAGCAGCAATCGAGTTGTGACTGATAAATTGGTTCCAGATGGAGACACTCAACCAAAAGTTGATCAATTAATTTGATCTATCTTGCTTTTCCAAGTCAGTTGTTCTAATCTAAAAGAGCCTTTCGGCATTAAGAATGCCACAGTCTGGTTGAGTCCATGTGATCTACGCAACATTGCAACACTCGTGGACAAAAAGTTGTTCTTCACAGCCCTCATACTGCTTCTCTCTTTGTTCTCTTTATTTCTGGAAAAATAGTTCAAGGATTCCTTCTAAAGATCTCATTTTATCCTTAAGTTTGCAAAGATTGAGCGAAGTTTTGTTTCTAGCAGCTATTGAATCTTTATCTGTTGACAATTCAAATCATATATCTGAGAACAGTGCAACAATAGATTGGGGAAGAAAACACTCTTATATGTGGTCACAACCTTTTTTGCACTAAATCCAGTACGATTGTACTTAGGAGGGGGCCAAGTTTAGGCTCATTGACCTCATGATCCTGTGTCAGAAATAACTCATTCTTTGAAGCGAGGAACCACTTGGGCTTTTCAGGCAAAGTCAGAGAAGCTGCAATTGATTTGCATGTGAAGGAAGCTGGCCATTAAATATCAAGATGAATGTGTTTTATTCATCCATTAAACTAAGTGCATGATTCGCTCGGATCATCTTTGGACATGGACTAAAAGATGTGTGACATTTGTATCATGGTTCAATTAATCAGGTGATAAAGGGACTTTGAATGCACAGGTTTCATGGAGAAGAATAAAGAGGTGGTTGAGCTATAAAACAAGCTGATGCTGCATGATGATAGATACATTGATTCTTAGGAATAGGTTCTGATGAGTTGGATGGAGATGATTCATGTCAGCAAGTAACCTACGTTTGAGGAGGTTGATTCAGGAGAAGGATGATTTGTTTTGAAGAAAGTAAGGGAGAACGAAAACTTTTTCGTGATTCTGAAATCATTGATCAGATCTACAATTCCTGTCAAATATCAGTTTCTTTAGTTCACTATTTCACTGCCCAGATTGTGATTAAGGGCACCTAAATGATGCTCATTTGGCTACTAATTTTCCTTGAAAGGGTTCACTATCTTAGAAAATTCAGATGCTAAGATCTACTTTTCATTGCAGCCTGGATGGTTTTATTTCTTCTCCTTTCTTTTCTTACCTGATAGCAAAGACAAACTGAGCAGTAATCTCAGATTCATTGCTACAACTTCTGATGGTCAACTTTTATGGTCTTGATATCATGAACCTGATGTCATTAACCTGCAGAAGGGGAGAATGAAATGGGAAAATAGATGGGAAAATATATATTTTAGCTTTGCCCCGACTTCTCTTCCGATTACCATATAAAGTCAACAAAGAACGGTAGGTGCGCTAATGCATGTAGGTGACATTTCTACAGTGCAGACTATTGATCTTAATGTTTGCCGGAATTCTAATTGTTAAACTTGTTGATCTACAGAAAAATCCAACTTCGACATCAGAGCAGGGAAAGAAAAGATCCTACAAAATCAAAATTGGGGCTTGGTGTGTTTTTATCTTAGCAAATCAAGAATGAGGATGGCATGGTTCACCCCTACATGAATATTTCTGTTCTTTATTGGAGGAAAACTGTCAGAATTGATGAACACACAGTGGTAGGCATCTTTTGACCAGATAGCTGCAGAATTTTTGGTTCATCATTTACATTCATGGAATAGCTTATTAAGCAGACTCATGTTACTATTGATTCTATTTTGCTTACCTCTAAACAAAAGACCTTACTTTTTTTTCCTTACATCACTACTTTTTTTGGTCACTCTTACTAATAGCTAAAAGTTGTAGTGCCAATATAATATATTATTCTGTAGAATGAATCTCTACAATCAACACGAGCATTAGCTAATCATTTATCATAAGTATTCAGTTCAACATGATAAGGTTATTTAGTCCCCATATTTATTGTGGGGTATAAGGGCTCATAAATCCATCAGATCTCCTTCTTTCTTAGAGGTGTCTTTTGGAGTTCATGAGTTTTAAAAAGATAAAATCATGCAAGTATATCCATCGTCCAAAGCGAATAATTCTTCGTAAGTTTATGGACTGTACTAATAGCCGATCGACCAAATGATTTCTTATCATATTAGTTCTAGAAGAAGGGCTCGAGGCCTACATCTCAATCGAACAAACTTGCTTCTGAACCATACATCTTAACTATGAACCCTTGGCTCCCATATGGGAGAGAATATTGAAAAGATCATTTGGTCTTTTTATTTAGAGGCTTCAAAAAGGTAAAATTATATCAGTATGCTTGACAATTCTTTATGTGGACAAATCAATTACTGACTAACCAAATGATTCCTTGTCACACTTCACCCATATATTAATTACAACTTAGAAGTTGCAAGGATAAATTGCCTTCAAGCATCAATTATTAAGCAACAATAGAAGAAACGACAAAAAAAAAAAAAAGACTGGTCAAACAATGCTCGCAAACTAATATGAGAAATTGATGAATCATGAACAGAGAATATAACAATGTTGACATTGACAAAAGCAAAAAGGGCCAAAGAACATAATTCTTTTTTCTAAAGGAAGTTATCAGCCTCCTGTGAAAGACATATTAACTAAAGAAGACACATCACCTGCATCTGACTTCTTTTTTCCACCACAGCTCCTTTACTTCCATCAAGTTGTCTTGGAGGAGGACAGATGCATGTTGTGAAGATTAAGGCAAAAAGCATATTTTTCCCACAACTGTAGAATGAAGTAACATTCAAACTTCCAACACTAAAAGGAGCATTTTGATTTACGAAACTCATCACCTGGCATTGTATGTTTGTCGCACACTAATGCTGATATCTAAAGATGAAAATACACTAGAATTACTCGGCATTAGATCTTGCAGAAACTTAGGCCAGATGAAGCCTTGATTCTAACACCACAAATGAAGACCATTCCACCAACACTGAGCTGGGATCCTCTCAAATGATTCCATAGAATTAATTGAGGTTGTATCTCTTACAGTATGTCGTCCTCGATGAAAAGGAATCTCTTCTGCATGCCGACACAATTATCGCCATTTGCAAGAACCGTAATCCACTTCCATGTGTCGATTAGAATTTGTAAGAAGACGCACCCAATCAAAAGCATTTTTCAGAGGAGTCAATGGTGATGGATCACTGTCATTGCCAACACTGGTTTCCAACACCTCACGAGGCTACTACGCCTGCAAACTCCAACCAAAGAAGGATTAGTAGCAGATCACATCAAAGCATACGTTCTTTGGAAGATTAGTCCTCCATGTCCATCTCATTTGGTTGGACAACTCTCCCTATCCCCCACCCAACACCACACAAAAATATATAATTGGATTTGTCCATAGTTAGGGGCAGTAAGCTTTGGGGTTCAGAGATGAACAGAGACGCGGCCTTTGTAGTGTTAGAAAACTAAGCATCCCCCACCTCCCCGGATAACGAAAGATGAACCGCTTCTCGACGCATGAAATGGCAAGTAGGAAGTAGTTTTCATTCTGATGCTGTCAGGCTTTGGAGGTGGAGAAATTTTTGCTATTAAGTGAGATTATATATATATATATATATGATGAATATAATATAATGAGAAACGAAGGCACAATCCTTTAATAGGTAGGCATCGAAACAAGTGCAGGTTTGTAGTGGCAGCAATGAAACGTACATGTCGCAGTTGCTGGCAGCCAAATGGTTCGGACAAAGTTTGCGCCTTGTAAATCCTTCGATTTACGACAAGATTCGCATGCAGATTCGTGCGGTGTGATGTCGGATCACAGCTACCTATCTCGATGGGTACACAAGTAATTTACTGTTTTGGGGCGCTTCACGCTTCGAGGCATGGGGGTATTTTGGTCACATCACTTTCCCTAATCGCCACACCCACCCGCTCCCCAATTCAAACTACTTCAAATCTCTCTCATGTGAGATCCGGAACAAAGAAGAGCTGCTCAAGAACCCTAACCCCATTTCCGACCACCTAAGCGAGCAGATCGAGAAAGGAGCCATTTTTATCCCGATTGGCTTTCCTTTAACCCTCCTCATTGTCTGCTCCTCTCTGGTCGTTGAGGTGACGGCTCGCGTCCCTCCTTCGCCTTTCCTTACCATCAAGAAACCAGTCCACAGTCTTCCCTCAAATCCATGTCCTCCCGGGTCCAGAGCAAGCCCCCCTTGCCTGCCCACCCAAATTTATCGCGGAGCCCATCGAACGTGAGTTCTTCCGGTGTTCTCCTTTGTTCCGGTTTCTAGGGCTTTCAGTTTTATCTCCGATTTTGGTTGTTGCAGAAGAAGGAGAATCTGGGTGAGACGACACCCATCGACAAGCGGCGGAAGATGGTCAGCCCCGCGTCTAACGGCCGGGCGCCGCGGCAGGTGCTGTCGTCCGTCAATGCCGGCCCCAACCCTGGCGATCAGGCATCGGATGGAGGGAGCTCATCTGGGGTTGAGTTCGGGTCCAGGGAGGACGTGGAAAAGCTCTTGGGTGAGAAGATGAAGGGGAAGAACAAGAACGATTACAAGGTTGTACACCTAAGAATTTGTTTCCTTCTTTACGAAATCTTATCGGCTTTTTTTGGGTACTGATTTTTTCAGCTGTTTATATCTTGTCATTTTTATAGGGCAAGAGCGAGCAGATGATAGAGTACATTAAGAAACTTCGGATTTGCATCAGATGTTACATGGAGCTTGAAGATGGCTACTTGGCAGAGCAAGAGAAACTTCGAAATATGTTGGATTTTGAAGAGAAAAGGCACGGAGAGATTGGTAATTACCAATTTTGATTTTTAAAATGGCACAAAAAATGAGAAAAATCTTGTTTTTATTGAGATTTATAACTCCCATGTGCACTTGTCATCCTTATGTGTTGATGTCCTGGTGGTACCTCATATTTTTGCAGAGACCCAGATGAAGTTTAAGATTGATGAACTGGATTCAACACTAAAGGAAATTCAAAACCAGTATTCTTTGTTGCAGAAGAACTTCCAAAAGGAAGAATCTGAGAAATTGGTAAGAGTGATGAAGATTCTCGATTTGATTAGCGGATTGAGTTTTGAAGCTTCTGACTATAACTTGAAAAATTCTGCAGGATGCTATCAAGTCTTATGTGAATGAAAGGGGAACAAGGGTTGCAGTTGAGAATTCTCGAGATGCTCTGTCAGCAGGCCTTGAAAGAGTCACCCAGGAGAAGAAATGTGTAGTTGACCAGGTATGTTACTTTTTTTATTAAAATTAAGCAGTTCTTTTGATGATCCAAGTGACATCTTGTTTCATGCAATTTGCCAGTTAAAAATGTTGCAAGAAACTAATAGGAGATTACAAGATTACAATGCCAGTTTGCAACAGTACAACAGTAATCTTCAGACTGAGGCCAACAAAAATGGTGAAACAATCTCGAGGCTGCAGAAGGAGAAGAGTGCTATAATGGAAAGCCTGACTAGTGCTAGGGACCACTCAAACTCACTCAAAAGTCAATTGGATTCCTCCAGGGTTAGCGTTCTATTTAACATTTTTTAATACAGGATGAATTATTGGCACTTGTCAATCATTTTTTCCCCTTTCTCTAAAATTTATTAGCTCAATGGCAGTTGTACCTTAATTTTTTTTGGTGCTCAAAGAACTTATCATTTTATCAGTTTTATTTTATTTTTATTGTTAAATAGCGTTGATGTCCTATTGCTTTCAGTATGTGCAACTTACAGAGGTTGATGTATCTTGGTTTACAAGGTCCTTTTTTCTACTGATTCTTGTTAACTGATTTTATGTTTCTTATTTATTCTGCTTTATGAATTGTATTAATACAGTCAAAATTGTCTCATCTTCACAGAAGGTAGTAACTCATCTTGTACAAATCTCATTCTTGTGTCTTGGCTATAGGAAGGAACTCATGTTGCATAAATTCCTTGATCTGATCAGCAACATTGTATCCTGGTCATTTGCAAATATTGACACTTGATAGTCATATGCATTACTTTCTATGAGATATCTCATTCCTCCGCCTGCGCCCACCCCCACCCCCCACCCCCCGCCCCCGGGGAAAAAAGAGAAACTAATGTCAGCTTGAGGAGGCAGTTCAACTATATAATAAAGTGTTTTGGTAGATTCAAGGAATAATGATTTTGCAACTAGAATAATATCTTGAAGTTTGACTAAACACAATAACACACTTGACCTTTTTCATTGCCCATCATGTTTCATTCTAGATGAAGTTGCTGTGTGGTTGATTATTTTTGGTGCTATTGCTGTTATATAAGTTATAACATTCAATAATTCATGTAATTTTAATGTTTGATTGCTTCATCAGTCTTCTCAGCAAGAGGCCATGAAACAGAAAGAAGAATTAAAAAAGGAAGTCAGCTGCCTTAGAACTGAATTGCAACAAGTACGAGATGATCGTGATCATTTATTAGAACGAGTGCAGAGTTTGACTGTAGACGTTGTTAACTACAGAGAAATTAGTGGAAAATCATCAAAAGATTTGGATGAAATGACTACAAAGAATGTTGCTCTAGAGGTTTGTTTTCATATGCGCTAACATCTTCATACATTCTGCTAATTTTTACAGTAGCATGGTATATATTTGTTCTTTATTAATTTCAGGAGACATGTTCTTCCCAAAGAGAACAAATACAACTATTGCAGCATCAGCTTGGTATTTCTAATGAGAAGCTGAAGGTTGGTAGCTATAAAGCATTACAGATAGTATTATCATATTGTGGCAATTCATTTTCTTTTGCCTGAATGTGAGATAAACCAGTGACTTACCATTGGCTGCAGAATAATATGAATAATCTAGGACTAAGTAATTTTTTGTTCAGTTTTTGACATCCTTGTTGCTTTAATAGAGAGCCGACTTGACAGCTACTGAGACGATGACAGAGTATGAAGAGCAGAAGAAAACTGTTAAAGATTTGCAAGAATGTCTTGTAGATGCCGAGCTTCAGATAGTGGAAGCTGAGAAATTGCGCAAAAAACTGCACAACACCATATTGGTACTTGTGTTAATTTAGTTAAATATATATTATAAAATTTATGTAGTGCTGAACTTCTTTTTGACAGGAACTTAAAGGAAATATTCGCGTGTTCTGTAGAGTTCGTCCTCTTTTACTTGATAATGATTCAAGTGACACAGATGGAGCAGTTGTTTCTTATCCAACATCCTTTGAATCTCTTGGTCGTGGCATTGATTTAACACATAATGGTATGACAAGCCTTTTGTTTGTTTTAGATACTACATTTGCATTGTTTCTTTTGATGACTACTATGGGTGATATAAAATATTGATCAAACCAAGGAAATTATGAACAGCCCAGATGTACTCCTTCACGTTTGACAAAGTATTTAATCATGAAGCTTCACAAGAAGATGTTTTTGGAGAAATCTCTCAGTTGACTCAGAGTGCACTTGATGGCTATAAGGTGCTTCAGTTAATCTTTAAAATATGTTGTCTCTGTTGAAATCTATACACAACAATTATTTCATTTATACTGACTTATTGATTTTGTTGATTCTCTTTTATTGAGATGTTTCTTCTAACCTTTGTACTTTGATTTAGCATTCCTAGTATACTGTTCTCATTGAACTTCTTTTTGAGTTGATTTGTTAATCATAAAGTCATATTAGTTCCGGGATTCTTTTTTGAGTAATGGTTTTTGAAAACACACATTGCCTTTTTATGCTTATCCTGGTTCTCTTTTACCATAAAAGGTCATAGGGTGAATATAGCTTTAGAATGTGTATATAATCTGCTGCAGTATGATCGTGTGACTGCTTGTGATCAATTCTTGTATTTTTGACTAAAAAAGTTTGTTGTCATCAATTGTAGGTTTGCATATTTGCATATGGGCAAACTGGCTCGGGTAAAACTTACACTATGATGGGCAACACTGAATGCCCTGAAGATAAAGGTCTTATACCACGGTCATTAGAGCAAATTTTTCAGACTAGTCAATCTCAGCAATGTCAGGGTTGGAAATACAAAATGCAGGTGACCTTTTACTCTTAAATTGTTTTTGCTTTTCTTATTGCTTAGTCTTCACTTTCACCACCATGCTTGATTCATTCATTTCTTTTTTAGGCATCCATGCTCGAAATATATAATGAAACAATTCGTGATTTGTTATCACCAAGCCGTCCTTGTAGTGTAGACACATCTGGTGGTCCAGGCAAACAATATTCAATCAAGCACGACTCTAATGGTAATACGGTTGTATCTGATCTTACCATCGTAGATGTTTGCAGCATCAAGGAAGTCTCGTTCCTCCTACAACAAGCTGCACAGAATAGGTAATACTTGCTGAGCTAGTTGGTTAAAGGGTTTTCTTTCTGAGGCTGACATTATGAAGAAATCCTTTTTCATTCTATTTGTTGTGTTCAAAACCATTCATGTTAATATTCTCGTTAGTTTCATGTTTTAAACGGTTTCCTTTTGTATTCTACTTTCATACTAACATACTAGTTGGGGTTAGTGGGTGTTTCGTGTTCCATAACTAGTTGAACTCTGATGAGATTTCTGAACTTGGAGACCAGGTCTGTGGGTAGAACACAAATGAACGAACAATCTTCAAGAAGTCATTTTGTCTTCACTTTAAAGATTTTTGGTGTTAATGAGGTCAGAAACTCATCATTATCTGTGGCAAAACTGGTTTCTGTTGTGTTAGAAACATACGTCAAGTGATTACTTCATTTTTCATTTTTCAGAGAACAGAACAACAGGTTGAAGGGGTTCTGAACCTAATTGATCTTGCTGGAAGTGAACGTCTTGCTAAAAGTGGCTCTACTGGCGAGCGCCTAAAGGAAACTCAGGTGGATACCGTTCATCTATGTCAATTAAATCATGAAATAGTTCATATTTTTGACTCTTTTGCCACATCGATGCAGGCAATCAACAAAAGTTTGTCTGCCCTAAGTGATGTAATATTCGCAATTGCAAAGAAAGATGACCATGTGCCTTTCAGGAACTCTAAGCTAACGTATCTTTTACAGGTACCGTTGTGCACCCATCTCCATACATTATTCCGCTTCGAGATTAAATTAAGTATTTGTTTGATCATTAGTCTTGTTACATCATGTAGCCATGCCTTGGTGGGGATTCGAAGACATTAATGTTCGTCAACATCTCGCCTGAGACCTATTTTGTTGGGGAGTCTCTTTGTTCACTTCGGTTTGCTGCCAGGGTCAACTCATGCGAGATTGGGATCCCACGACGCCAAACCCAGTCACGATTGACCTACAGTTGATTGTACCACCAACTGATGTCTGTAATTTCTTTGTGTCCTCATGTTGCTAGTTAATGGCAATTAGTCTTCTAACATTGCCTTCCCGTTATCTGTACAATAATGAGTCAGATCAAACATGCTATTATATGTACAAGTACATTGGCTCATTTGGTGTATGAGTCAGATCAACCATGCAATCATATGTACAAGTGCATTTTTCTCATTTGGTGTATCTTTCCGTTCATTGTCTTCACAAACACATTGTAATATCTTTTTCTTTGAATAGATAATTCAAGAGGTGGCAGAATCACCTGCTACAACTTCCATCCGAAAGCTAAAAGCTAAAAGCTAAAAGCTTTATTCATTAAGCTCCAAAACTCAAATACATTACAATGTTCTATGGTATCAATAAATAACACAATCGACGTATGTCTTAGAGGTTTGTTTTGGATACACAATAGAAACACAAGGGCACAAGAAAATACAACGCAAGAATTGATTAAACTGGCGATATAAGAAATATCAAACAGAGAAAGAACTACATCAGAGACAAAATATGGCCATACAAAAAGAGTATGCAAAGACCAGAAGTTACCGAAATATTATTGCCACACATTAACATGAGTTCCAGCATAACATTGTCAACTGACGAGGACACTTAACCACAGACAACATTATCAACATAAGAGACACTCACACACCAAAGCAGCAAACGAGCAGGACAAGGGTTCACTGGCCACCACGGAGGCGGAGCACCAGGTGGAGGGTGGACTCCTTCTGGATATTGTAGTCCGCAAGGGTGCGACCATCCTCTAATTGTTTCCCAGCAAAGATTAACCTTTGCTGGTCCGGTGGAATACCCTCTTTATCTTGAATTTTAGCTTTCACATTATCAATAGTATCGGAAGATTCAACTTCAAGGGTGATGGTCTTGCCGGTGAGAGTCTTAATGAATATTTGCATCC